AACTGTTACTTTAATTTTATATTTATCTTTATATTTATTGTTAAGGTTCTGCATATCCAAAGAGAGCTCCTGTTTTTCAGTTTATCTCCCAGCCTGCCTCTTACCCCAGCAGTATTACTTTTGGCACAGTTAGTGAATGAATATTCACAATCATCATGGATATTCTAACTGGGTAGGAGATTCAGTGTCATACTTGATATAATTTTGAATGAGAAGAATATGCACAAAGTCTTTGATTCTTATTATGCTCAGGAAAAAAATAGGAAATGTTTTCTTCAAGTACAGCCAAAAACCGGACTATTGTTTTTCCTGTGGTTGGGTTTTGTTCACAAATGTTTTCCCTCCAAATAATACCCATCTTCCTGTGTTTACACTCACACACCAACAAAAAACACCCACTGAAGAGTTCCAAGCAGCCTTAGGAGTGTTCTGGCCTCTTTCAGGGGGGAGGTGCTGGGGGTGCTTAAAGGGGAGCCCGTTTTGTTTGTGTCTGTGTGCACACATGCATGGAAAAGCTTTTAAACACCACAGATTTGGCTTCTACTACATTGATCCAAAACCCAGTTTGGCTGTTCATTGCATTTATACTTTGATTAAAGGTCATGCTCAGCTCATTAACAAGCTTTCACTCTGTCCCTACCATCATCCCTGCACGAAATGGCCCTTGCACTGTTATTAGATGTCACAGTTAAAGCTGCCCAGGTATCCTGGCTGTGCCTGCAACTGCAACGTTCTCTGAATTATCCTGAATGTTAATACTGATTTTGAGATACTTAGATTCCTGTAATGTTTATCCTTCAGCTGCCAATGAAGTCCCACAGACATTTTTTTCCCGACCAAAATATTAATTTTAATAAAATTCAGAGTTTATAGATCAAAAAGTCTCAAAAATTTGACGGGATAAAAAAAAAAAAACAAAAACAGAAAGACTTTACTTGTTTACACAGAAACCGAATTTCAGACTGGGAGTTACAGAATAAACCTTGGATTTAAGGCCCCCCAAATTCACAGTCATTCCTAAGTTTCACCATCTCCCCCACTGTGTTTTTAGAAAGTCTCTATCTTTTGATTTCAGTTGTCCTAGGTCCTGTTAAACTGTAACCATAAAATATGAATTTTACAATATCCTGTACTTTTTAAACCTTGAAGTAACTTCTGAAAAGCCAAAAAAACAAAAAAAAAAAGTAACACCAAAGACATTGTGGTTAAACAACAAGGCCAAGTGACTGTTAGAGGTATGAAATTACCACGCAAAAAGTTGAAGTGATGCCCAAACAAGTTCAGAACCACCACCTTTGGCACATTCAACATAAAAACATGATAAAAATAGCCAAAAATATTTCAGAAACAACTTGCTAAGAGGCATAAGAACTAATTCCAAATCCTTCCTGAACAAGCAAAAGCAGGAAGCCTCTCAGCAGCCACAGGACCAGCAGAAGATCCAAGATGTCTTCAAATAACACACGGCCACTGAAAGAAAGCTACAGGAACTTGGGATTACCTTTAAGTACTTGTGTGGTGATATCGTCCCCCAACCTGTTTTTTTTTTTTTTTTATGAGGCAGGTACTGAAAGGCATTGAAGCTTCAATTGGGAGGATTTTAGAAGAAAATTTATGAAATTTCAATAATAAAGTCTACTGGGTTATTAAGTTAAACTAAAATGTTTCCTTTTCCAAGGAAGTTTCTACTAAGATAACTACAGAATAAAACCATTCCCAAGAAAATTTCAATATCTGGTCTTCTAAGAAGAAAAAGAAGTGAGAAATGTTGAGAAGTCACCCTGACCTATTAGAAGAAATGTACCTCTAGTTGATGAAGTCCCATATGACAAATTGCCAGAAGGCTGGATAATGCAGTGGAGGTGCTTTTCCCAATCCTGTACTTTTCTCTGGAAAATTGTAAACAGCCTCTTCTCTGACACAGGCCACCAAAGTGCCTGGAGCTCTGCTTCAACCCAAGGCATCCGTTCCACGTGGAATTCACTGTGCAAGAGTCTGTCCTCTGCCTACTCTGAATTACTATTCCAAACTCTCCTTTCTCCACACCACAGCTTTTCCCCAAGCTGTTCAATCTCTAGTTGATCTTCACTCCCAAGACCCAAAGGCATGAATAATTTCTTAAGTACAGAGTGAAAAGAATTTACAAAACCTGACTCTTCAAAATTGCTTGTATGAAACTAATGCCAAAGAATATCCTTTTCCATGACTGAATACAGAGCCTGATATAACAAACTCTCAAGGCTTAAATTTCTATTCTCAGCGAACACTAAAAAGAAGTTGGAAAGTGTAAACCACCACAAAAGAGAAACCTTTTATTTCCCAAAGAATTATTCGGCTAAAATTATTTGGTTTAACACATATTAATACCAAATAATTTTGAGGATACTTTTCATAGAGCTTTAGGGGAATTAAAGTTTTTATTCAAGTTTTTTTTTAAATTCCAAATGTGATTTGATGACTCAGCTATTCTCTGAAGTCATGTAACAATAAACATTAAACATTACTCAATAACCACAGCAACCACCATCTAATTTTATTCTTTTTCTTCTTCTACCCACAAAAGGGAAAAAAATTCCCTGTAGAAGCTATTAGATTTGTGCCAAATTTATGACTCAAAGACAAATTAAAATAAATAGACACGTGAAATTAAAACAATAAAATGTTTGTATATTGTGAAAATGTCAACTGATTCTAGGCTTCTTTAATGTACATTTTAAAAATACATTTACATACAGGTGTAAATGTCTGGATGTAAAATGAAACATAAAATGAATGTGTAGGTACACAGTTTTTATTTATATAGAACATGCAAGTTACATTTGTTGCTGGTTTTTAAAAAATAATTTTCCACACAAAACCCATCTGGAAACTACAAAAGGGTGGTATAATCACTATTACAAATCCAGACTAGTCTGGGTTTAGTTACATCAAGGGACAGGGGTGATTTCTACTAAGAAGCACTGCCCATCTTGGAGTTTTCTAAATCGAGGCATCTTCTAGAGTTTAGACAGCACATTTATTTTCTAAATATTTAACAATGATATATCTTAATGCATTATTCTCTTCCTTGGCCATGGCAGTTTCACCTGAATATCTGCAGATGTTTATGCCCCCATTCCCATCTCCTGTTGTGATCCAGCCAAGCTGTAAGTTTCATTCTTTCAACTTTTCCTACAACTTAATTTTCCATCCCTTTACTCCTTAATTAAATTCATGGTTCACATCGTTGGATGTTCATATTTTAAACAAGAGTCAGGCATCAATATATTTTAGAACTGCACTAAACATAAAGTACATTATAAAATAAAACATTATGAGCTTCTGAAATGGAAAAAAGAATGGTATTGATTACAGAAGAGTTCTCACTTCCTGTAAACATTTCTATCTCCCTCTCTCCCACAGACATACACATACTTACTTTAAAGGAAAACCAGAAACAAGAGTTTAATTAAACACCACTAGTCTGAGTTTGAAATCCATGAATGAACAGATGGCCACGCTTCCCAGCCCGCCAGCAGGCCACTGCAATTAACTGGGACTGGCATCAGGGCAATGTCATGGAAGCTGGAAGTTCTGAACCAAACAAATATCCATATATGAGTGTTGGTGACAGTTATAAATAGTGTAACATTCAAGTATTTAGCACTGTACAAAAGTGGTACCAGCAATAAGACAGGAGGCTTCTATCTCAGGCCATCATTAAATCGAGTCATCTCCTGTGAGTGCACCAGGATGCTTGTCAGTACTCACACAGACTTCAAATCCAACTGACTTCATCAAGAACAGCTTGAAAGAATTAAATAAAAGTTGTCCACTTCAGCTTTTCCAGAAACAATCCCTAATATTGGACTTGTGCTCACTAATTAATATGGTCTCATCTATTTAAATCTATTTGGTTGTATCAGTAAGCATTTATTAAACTAAAATCAATACGGTGCCCCTTGAGTAAAAATGTTTTCTGACACTGCTAAGCTCAGTAGAACCATCCCTGATTAAGTGCCAAGAAGGAAATCTGCTTTGCTAACATTAAACTCAAACATAAATTGAACAGTGCAAGACACACGTGAATACAGGGGAAATCAAAGCAACACAGGACATTGCTGATGCTCTTGAGCCTCTATCAAATTTGAACTCTGCAGCTTGTCACCTTGCTCCCCCCACGATTCCTGCAGCAGGACTGTAACTCTGCACTGCCCATGGATATAGGTGACATCACCTACATCTGAACTCTGCAGATTTTCTTCACCTCTCCCTGTACTGAATGCTGATAACTCTGACACTGAGCAGTGGGCAATACCATAAATTTTGCAACCTGACATAAGCACTTGTGAAAAAGTGTTTCAAGTAGTTTTTCTGACTAAGGCTGTTCATACAACTAGGGAAAAAAAAAGCAAATCCTACATAACTTCACCTTAAGACTTTGCTTACATCACTTTCACAGTTGCTGAAGAAATATTTTCTGACACACTTCTTCCACTATTTTGATTTTGCCTTTTCCCTTTCCTTTCAGAAGGAAAAGAGAGATGAAGAAAAAATGCACTTAAATACTCATCTGAAATAGTAATAAAATATTTTTGAGGAAAATATGCTGCATGTAGCATTTTTGTATCCAAAGGACCCTCTGATTATCTTAGTCCTTTACACAAGGCTCCCATTCCCAGAGGTATTCTGCATTTAATACAATACTGGGCTAATAAGCACTTCTTCATAGGACAGGTTCCTTAATACTTAACAAATACAGCACGTCCTTTCAGTGCAATACAAAACAGGATAAAAACTCCCATGGTAGCTAATTAAGTAAAAAAGGCTATATTATCAACCAACAAGAGATCATTCATGGAGTTAAAGACAACACTGACACACACAGACATACATATATATGCAAATAAATGATACAAATTTAGAATATAGTCTGGAAATGTTGTTTGCATTTTAAATATGCAAACTAATTACAGAGAAAGACAGCAACTTCATTAAATATTTATAAAAGTAGTAAATACCTGAAGTACTCACAGCAGTGGAATAAGGGTTATGAGCTCCTGTATTTTCAGCCCAGCAGCCACAACCATAAAGAGCTGCCTAAGGAAAGAAGCACATTGTTCATAAATTTTAAGTTATGAGATTTTTGGTTTATTCCCTTTCCTTAAAAAAAATGAAAATATAAAAACAACCTCAGACCAACAACAATAACAAAAAAAGAAACCCAAGAAAAACCCAAGTATTAATACAAACGATGAATAAGAATATCATAACCATATTGTAATTCCACTCCATTTTGCTACGCCCTTTTACTATTCTGGAGATCTGAGTGTTTGTCATGGATACAGCATTCTAGCATAGCTTAACAGAAAATGAGGGTAAAGATAACCCTGCTCATATAAAGTCTCTTTCACTCTGCTATTCAAAAATTAAACAAAAAAAAAAAAAGACAAAACAAAAAACCCAAAACAACAAACAAAAAAAAACAAACAAAAAAACCCCTAAACAAGTTAAATACATTTCAAAAGAGATCCACTTTTTGGACAATGGAAAATGTAAACCAAAAATACAGCTGTATAGCAATGGAGTAGAAAATTTCTGATGCACCCCAAAATTTCCTAACAACGAGGTGACATGTCATAAATATATTACTCACATTAATAATAAATAGAGCTATACATAATTTATAAACAATCATAATTATATATAACACATCATAAATACCTGATGTGCTCTTTTAGTACTTTTGTCACTTCTTCCAATTCACAAGATCATTTAAAAATTAATTAGGACAGCTTCCCTAAATATTGAGAGAAATCTTATTTTACTTTAAGCATTTAAGAGACCATTTGTGGTATTAAGGAGCTGTTTAAGCCTAAGAAAGGAACTTACTGATATTTCTGTCAAAAGGTAACTAACTGCAGAACATCTTACCTGGGGGTGATTTGTTCCCAAATTATCACATTTTGTGGGGATTCTTTTTTACCCCGAACGAGGTAGAGATCAGACTTTTCGTTTATTTTTATTTTCTACACATAAGCTACAGAGTTCTACAGAACTCTTCAGAAAGAGTCCTAAAGAACTTTTATTTCCTGAGTTCTTATTATAGGTGTTGAGAACACGACCAGAGGTCACAAGACTTATGGTTACAAGATCTTTTAAGGATTTATTAATCAACAAAACAGTATTAACAAGGATATTTATGTTTCTAATCTAATATTAAGAAATTCTGCTTAATTATAGTGTAACCTTTTTTAGTCAATTCTGTTTTAACACACAGATTTATTAAGGCTATTCTGTTACTTTTATATTTATTTTATTTTTTTTAATATCCTAAACTTTATAGTTAAACTTTTTTTTCTTTACTTAACATGTTTCTGCTTTAAGCTTTAAATTTACATTTTTATTTTTAGCACCGAAGCTTGGAAGTTTTTCCCAAGGCCTCCGTTTAAATTTTGTGTTCTTTTTCAGGCCCAATGTTTGGAGAATTTCCTGTATTCTGAATTCCAACACTTACCTATCACTGTTTTATTACACTGAAGGAGGACACTATGAACAACACTTGCACATCAGCACAGTGAAAATGCCTTCAGCTTTTACCAGGAAGGAAGAAAGAACTGAAGTTTGCTGTCACAGCTCTTGCTTCACACCACACCTGTTTGTGACAATGAACAATCATTCCCAACTAAAAAAAAAAAAATTATTACCTGACCAACTCTTCCAGGATGCTTCAGTGCTAAACCACCACTGGAGACAGCAGCAGCAACATTTCCTTCTTGGTCAACAACAACTGCACCAACTGTATCCAATGTTCCTGAGTCATTCTCCTGCAGGACACACAAAGAGAAAAAAAAAACCTAGCAAAAATAGTATATTAAAGTCAGATCATACCCCTTAGGAGTGTGCAAGTGAGAGAAATGGATTTGTTATCATGCACTTCTACCCACTGCCATAAATCTTCCCAAAATGCTGTTGTGCCTCAGACAGGACCTTAATAAAATTTCTCCAGGAACAAGAAGGTAATAAACATCTCACAACTCATCCAATGCTTAGATCACCTGCTTTTACTCACAAAAGTCATGTTTTCTTAGTGGTTGCCACTTGTCCACTAAGAAATGATTCAGCAACTGATGCCACATCAAAAGGCCTTTCCTAAAAGGCCCAAGAAAACATTTTCAGAAGCTCTGATCTTGAAAGATGTGTGATGCAAAAAAAATGAAATTAAACCAAAACAACAACAATAAAAATACCAACCCCCCCAATATCCCCCCTCCCTCCCCCCCAAAAAAACAAAGCACCACCAAAAAAAAAAGAAAACAAGCAGCTGTTTACCAAGTTAAGAGAAAACACTGATATTCTGAGCAAGACAATAAACAGAAGCCTCAAGGAAAGAATTCTCACCTAGGACAGATTCTTTCTGCCACATTTGTTCTCAGTTCAGGAATCTTTAGTGTATGAAGCAATTTTACCCTTTGCTCCCTGTAACTAGAGGGTAACTAGAAAAGTGTCCTTCCTTCCATGGCTTCTGAGATAGATTTACTCCCCCCAGGAGCAGGGGTCTTTCTTTATATCCTTCCCCCATTCCTTAATACACCACACTAAGCCTCTCTTAGAGGAGAGGTTTTCCCCTCTCTGCCTAGGCTTGGCCTAGATTCCCTTCTCCGCAGAACCCAGGGCAAGGCACTCAGACTTCCTGCTCCACCACACACACAGCATGCAGTGTACAGAAAATAAAACAAACAAAACTGAGCCATCATCCATCACCTACTCCAGAGATGCACAGTGCTGCTGCACGAGCCTCAAGCCTTTTATATAGACTTACCCAGTGAAATAATGCCAAAGATTATTCAGTTTTTCATATAAATTTTCTGGACTAGAATTCAGAGGGAGGAATTAAAAAAAAAAAAAAAAAAAAACCACCTAACTATTCAACTTCAAATTATGAAGTTTCCATCATCAATTAAAATTTCCTTGGGCATACTACAACACTTATCAAGCATGGATTCTAGTACTGCAATGCTGATGATACTCTGGCCACTCTTAATTTAACCCAAATGTTTTCTCTTAAGTCTGCCTCAGTCTCAAAAGGAAAAATATGCAGTGTAGCACTACTTCCATGTTCTACAGTACTTTTCAAGTAACTCGAACTCCTAGGCAGGAGTTGCATCCTTGGCTTTCACCCAGAGAAACACCAAGTTTCTTCTCTGCACCTACACTGAGATCTTCTCTGGCAAGTTCTGCACTCAGATGCTGGCACTGAGCATCCTCAATATTAAAACACATGGGTGGGTGTCCCAACAGTAAAGCAGAGAAAATGCTTGAAGATAGAGAGGGGTGGCAAGTTAGAGATGCACAGTTTTGACTGGCACAGGGAAGAAGTTGAAAAAACAGAGGAAGGAAGAATTAAGGATTAGGGCAGATAGGAAAAGTAGAAACAAAAGGAGTTTTGACAACAGGAGTAAACGGGATAAGAAAAGAACCAGCTCCCTTCCAAGTTCTAAAGATGAAAGAAAATGAAGGAACCCTTTTCTAACATCTCATGTTCCAGCTCCCAGGATTCCCAGACACACCCTGAGCTAATACTAACCCCAGTGGATTAAAAAGACCTTAAGCAGCAGAGTAGGCTGCTCACAGGAGATGCAGATTCCCATCCTTGGAGGTTTCCAAGACCAGACTGGACAAATCACTTCCCAACATGAATTCTCTTATGATTTCTACGTACAGAAGAACTACTATGATACTACTATGTCTACCTCCTGCTCCCTTTTATCAAAGGAAATTATACTTACAACAAAAAACTCAAATAATAGACAACTACAGATATAAAAATCAAGCCTGTCAAAGTAATTTTAAATGATGCAACTTCGAGGCTGGAAATCTTTTCTAAGGGAAGCATTGCAAAGGGAAGGTTGGGTTGGCCCACAAAACCTTCTGAAGGAAATCTGTATCACTGATGCAAAGGAATTCTGTATTTTTCTTCTCAGTAATATAGGTTTGGTGTTGGGGGGGCTGGCTTGTGATTAAAAAAAAAAAAGTCACTGATATATAGGTGATGCTGTATTTATCCTTATTCAGCAAACTGAAAACCAGTCATGACCAGTCTGATTCCACATCCAATGGGAAAAAACACATTGTCAGGATCTTCTACATATGTGAACTGCACTGACAACCCTATGATTTCTGGACCGGTAAATAAAGATGACACCACAATTGAGCAAAGGAACTTCCTGGACATCTCCCTACAGAAAAGCATCATGTGCCTGAGGAGTCACTGCAACACTGCACCTGCTGAAGACTTTCAGTGTCAGGACAATAAAAACAAGTATGATAAACAGTACAATTCACAAAGTCTAAAATAAGACCAAACTTTATTCAGGTACAACAGGGACTAAAGATTCAGCTTGCTAGTCCTTATCTTGCAATTGTATATTTAGCCACTTAAACTTTAAAATGTTGCAGGTTCCAAAGGAAACTTCATGATATCTGCTACCAAATTCTGTATCTGACTTCCACTAGTACATTATACTTGTCACTGCAAAAGCAGTTTGGTGTTTTTAACAATGTAGTATTGTAACCACAATATAATCTATTATGCAGTTAATATTTTGCATGGAAACAAATGAAAGTGCTATAAAGTCAGAGCTCACATAATTCGCACCTTGCAGCGGGCAAGGAAATTAATTTATTAAACCATGGTCCAAATACTCAAATCTTGCTAAGAACATGCACAACAAAACAGGAAGATGCTCATCTGCACAAATGCAGAGTTGTATCAGACATTTTTAAAAACTCCTCCTTCCCTCCTGCCCATAAAAAAAATTGTAAATATTGATGACAAGCCCCTAAGGAAGCAATTATCAGATTAGGAGAGCTCTACCCAGTGCTCACTGGAAGATTCTACACACAAGGCCTTTTCCCTCTCTATTTGAGAGTTCTGAAATGCCATGACAAGTAATTACTACTAAACCTCATCTCTGAGTGTAACTGACAAAATAGAAAATTCATCAGATTGAAGTAATTAGCATTTATATATTACCAACTATCTAATTATACAAAGCTTGATGAACAATCCCAGCCTTTCCAGTTTAACAGCTGTTTGGTGTGTAAAAAAGAACATTTTGTTTGATCTTCATGTGCAAGATGAGGAAATTATCCCATACTGTATTTCCACAGACAGATTTTGTTTTGGCTTTAACTAGAATGGGTGAAAATTATTTAGGTTTCTTTTCCCATATTAAATGGATTTTGAAGCATACTTTTGAAAACTAAGATATTATTATCAAAGACCACTTGCACACAAAAGTGGGATGGAACATTTCTTTATTTTTTAATGAAATTTCCAAACTGCAAGACTAAGACAGACACTAGGATTTCCATAGCTGACTGCTACACTTAAAATTACCTGCACATAAACAAAAATATTTTCTAAATATGTTCAGTCTTAATACAGCAACTGAAGAACATGGAACTGTTGATTCCACATATATAATTCTAAGTGGTGTACACATATATAACTATCTATGTTAAAATAGATAAAAATCAAGCCAGTTTTAATAAAACTCAATCTAATTAATGTTATTTATGGAGTTAAATAACTAGACTACAGAATACTAACTTACAAACACTAATCTGTTCCAAAAAAATCGTGTGCACTGGGGGTTCTTAGAGTCACTTATTCAAACCAAGATAGGACAACTTTTTACAGAGATCACTTGTAAAAGTTTCTAATAGCAGAAGACAAATTAAAATTAGGGCTTCTAGCCAAACTCTGCTAAGCTATTTTCAATGACAATTTCCTCTGGTAAAAGACAGACAAATATTTACTTCTGATATTTACTGGTGCTTGAGGGGAAAATTTGAAAATGGCATCTGGCTGAATGAAGACATCATTGCCACCCCCCCATGAGAATGTTTAGTTAATTTTTGTTTGTGTGTGAATTATTTCTTAGCTATGCAAATCAGCAGGACTCTACAACTTAAAAAATACTGAATTTTTACACCTTCAAAATTTGAAGGTATTAATGGATCTTCCTGTATGCAAATGCATAACCCTCTGCAAATCCTACACTGGGTGAACAATTAAAAACACAGCAAAGAGAAAACTCCATTTATCAGGAAATAAAACTCCTTTAGCAAGTTACACTGCCAAATTTTTTCCATACAAACTTCGACAAATTTAAACAGCCTCATTCTTTTTAAGGTTGGTATAACTACATTTTTATTGAAAACTAATTTTTAAGCCTGTATTTTTCTTTTTAGCTGGTGACATTTATCAGTAGCCCAAACTTCCAAGTAATTTCAGTCTGTTTAGTCTGCAGTACTGTCTCTTCTCACTGGCCTATTAATTTTGATCCCATTCTACTCCACCTTTGTTAACATCTTTTCTACCTTGCCCTCCCCAGAGCCCGCAGCACTGACAATAGAGGCACACATGCTCAGAGTTCAAGTGGGTGAGTCAAACCAGATAATAAAACAGCCCTGAAGTCCTGCTGAAAGGAATGGACTGCAGCTCCAGAGAAGCACAGCTGATAAAAAAGTTACAGGAGTATTTATCAATTAAAATCACTTTGACAAGATGATTAACTTCTAATTACTCGAGCATTTAAATGGTTTTAAACCAGTTATTTTAAAACCTTTTATGAGAGCACAGTTTTGACAGTGTGAGTTTTAGGGCAACAAATCACATGCCTTCTCCTTGCTAAATGAAGATTTTTTACTAGTTTGGGGAGATATATGCTACTTTTATTTCTTTTAGAATTTGATTTTTCATTTTTATTTCATTTTGAAAAACGACTTTGAAAACCTTACTTCCTGTAAGGCTGCAATTATCCTACACTGTGAATAGCACAAGAATTCCATATTGAGAACATGGGTTGGTTTTCATCCCTGCTCCAGGGACAGGATGTGCCCAGACAGCTGACAACACCAGCATGTTGTTACTGGATTAGTCACCAGGGAGAGGAGTTCCCTCTGATCACCTCCTTTACCTTCCACCACTGGCCTTTGGGAATCTCTCAAGTGCTGTACAGGACTCTGGAGCCCTTGAAATTTCAAACTGCAGGTCGGTAAGCTCATGCATTGGCATTTGTTTCAAGCATTGACTTGCCCCTTATGAAGTGAGCAGCAATAGTGCACAGGGACCCCTCCTCCCTCAGTACACTTTCACACTCCCAGTTTCACAGGGAGGTAACTCAAGTCCTGTGAATGGCAAAATTCCCAAAAGGAACAATTAACTTCCAAAGCTCCCTCATCCTTAATTTCTTCACAGGTCTTAGTTCCTCAAAAAAATAAAAATTAGCACCCTGCTAGAGAAAACATCTTAGCTAAGAACACAGACGTAAATTGCCTAATTTATCACTGTTGGCACTCGCAGACTACAGAGAATATACTTCTGTTAACAATTCTCTGGGATTTATACCTTATTTATATCAGCAAATGTAACTACTCAATGGTCAGACAGCTCAGCAAATCAAAGAGAAATGGTCAATCTGAAGGTCCCAAATAAGGCACAGGCATTTAATTTAATGAGCTATACTTTGATACTCAACATTAAACACAAATATTGTGAATTATATTCTCATAGGTAACCAAAGCTCCACGTTTAAACTAAGAATGAGGGGAACAGAGGGAATCCTGGGAGTTTTGTAGCACAAGTAATATGGGCCAGGTCAATGCCAGATGCATGCACAGATGCACATGTTTACCTACCTGATATTTCAAATTTCACCAATTCCAGTTCCATAATGCAGTGTGCTCAGGAAACATTAAAAAGTGGGAAACAGTGACAGAGATCCCAAGCTAAAGAAAACGTTTTGGTAAATAATTATCTCTTTGTATTTACATTTGTCATATTTCCAGTTCAAAATGAGCAAAATATTTTTCTTAGCACGAACAAGATATAAAGTAATGGCTTGGTTTTCAAATAGCAAGGCAGAAAGTTTTAACTGCACTAAGTTCTTATTATATCATCTAAACATTAAAATGGACAAGGAAAACAGGTTTCTGAGGCTACATCAGTCTTATCATATAAGCCATGAAATTTATTAGCAATCAGCTGGAAGTTCAGGATGACACAAGAATTTGAAACAAAGGCTAACCTTTTCATTTGATTGTCTTCTTTTCTTTAGTTGAATGAGATCTGTTTCCACCTTTTCGGCCAACTCCAGCTTCCTCTTGTTCCTCTTAAAAGCTGCTAAACTAAACCCTATAAAAATAGTTCAAAAGCATGTAACTAAGTAAAATTTACTTCTTTTAAGCAAATATTGATAAGTCGACATTTTGAAGGACACATCCCCCACTTCTTTACTGATGCAAAAAAGCATCAATAGAGAACCAAAAACTTAAGTATTCAAGTTCAGTACAAGATATTCACATCTTTTCCTAACTTAAAAAGTTCTACTATTGTTCAGCAACAGTGATGAGTAAAATATCTGGTAGAAACACATGGAAGCTGGTCTAAAACTTTGCAGCAGCACTGCACAGAAGAGAACAGATTAAGTGGCTTGTGTTAAAATTGTTTTTGACTGCTGACAAGTAAATAGATATGATTTGAGCTCATTCTGATAGTCATAGAATTAGGCTATTATTTTATTACCTTAATCACATATCTGTATGCTTACCCATATATTTAAAGCCACACACAAGTCTAGCAGTAGTTTGTGCTCCATAATCCAATACAGTCTAAAGACCACCTAGGTCTCAAGAAGACAAATATCTACTTTCCATATCTGAGCCCCACATTCAGAAAGGAAGTGCTCTCTAAAGTGGACTAAAAAATAAAATTGTTATGCTTAGGAGACCAAAATGACATGTTCCCATTTTAGAAGTTTCAGTTCATGAACAAGTTGCAGATATTGACATATTTAGTTTAAATTACTTTTGACTCTGTATCATCCCCAGGCTGTTTTAACATCCTCTGTAAAATGTAAAGAGGTGGGGAGAAAATGTCTTTTGTCACTTGTTTAACCATACCAAATCAAGCTATTGGGAGAACAGAGCAACTTCAATCTTTTACTTACACAAAGAAGTCACAGATTCAATGGAAACTAAAAAGCACAGGTTTTTCTGTAAACAATTTTAAATGAAATTCTGAATATAGCTACATCACTACTGTTCAGAAGATTGGAACAGCTGCATGAAGTCTGGTAATAAACTCAGTATTACAGAGCCAATGGAACCCAGAGCTTTCATCTACAATTCTCACAATTGAGCAGTTTACACTGACAGAGAGCATTTTACATGGAAACTTCTCCATGCAGGTGTCAAATTCACCTAGTGAACTCTCTTTTAATCATGTTTTTAAGTATGTAAAACTGGGCCTTAATGTACACAGTTATTCAAGTATATAACTAATTTCTCTCCAAAAACCTAATGAATACCAGTTTTTTGAAAATGTAAACCTGCCATCACCAAGAAAGAAATTCATCCTACTGTATAGAGCTGATTAGTGCAGCTACTTAGGACAACACATTTCTGTGTTTCAAATGAGGACAAAGAGGTAAAAAACCTGAATATTTGATAAGGGGGAGCTGGTAAAGAATCATTTTACTAATTGGCAGCAGGGAGAAACAAACTAAAAACCTCTCACAGATCAAGAACTTGGTAAACAGAAATGCCTCAAAACAAACTAAGCCAGCACATTGTTTTTAAGAGAATTTTTAAACAGGACAATTTGTAAGTTGACACAAGTTCACCAAGCACAGTAAATACAGTATGGCAGAGCCATACAGTGTGAGTAAGAATGGTGTGTGCCCTTGGCATTCCTCAGAAGCAGGCATTACACAGGGAGAAATAAGCCTAAGCCTGTTACCTGCTGCTGCCACTGCCTCCTGCCAAGTTGGAAAAAAAGTGGACCTAGGGTGCAGGAGAGCACACATGCAAACCTGAACAGGTTCCTTGTACTTCAGAGCTGAATGGCAGCAGTGTCCTGAAATCCTGTGCAGTACTTGTATGTTCACCAGTTTAAACACATCCACAAAGATGACATCAAATACACAGAACATATGGACTAGCTCCAAGCTGGCCTGCCAGCTGCACACAGTGCTGCTCTATGGCCTCTCAGCATCTCCACTCCACCTACACCTTGGCAGCATATTTATCCTGCCATTTTCCACAACACACAAAAGTCTCCAAGCTTGAGAGATGTTTCATTCACTTAAGACAGCAGTCCTTAGCTAACTAATTTATTTTCAGAAGTTACCCTATGCTTTAAGACTGTTTGTTTTTTCAAAACAAGAAAAAACCTGAAGACTTACTCTGAATGATCTCCTAACAGTAACTTCTTAACTGCATTGTTAATTCAAAGTGCTATCAGTAAGTTGTGAAACACAGGGCAGAAAAAACCTCATTATTAGTAAAGAAGTACACATCTCTAGGGCCATGCCAGACAGACAGATGAAGACAGCTTTCTAGCAACATTTAATGATGTAGGTTGGAAGGGATATTAGGAGGTTGTGTAGACCAACCTCCAAAAAACCCCAAATTTAAAACCAATTGAAAAGGATTGATTGTCAGATTCTGAGTATTTTCAACAATGGAGATTTCACAACTCCTCTGGGCCTCTGCTTCAATATTTGATCAACCTTAGGTTTAAATAAGTTTAGTTCAGAAACATCATACCTTTCATACCTGTGAGGGAATGTCAGTCTAGACAGACATCCCCTAGAAGTGAAATTCTTGTGCTCAGGCTTCATTCAACTTCAGAATAGTTATTAGGATTAACTTTCATCTAAAAAGTGGAGATTGTGTTTTAGCAAGGACTGATGAATAACAGCCTTTCATTATTTAAGGAAAATAATTACTAGCAGTAATTATCAATTCCTCTTTGCAGGATAAGCCAGCTAAATGTCCAAAGTGACCAAATAACCATAAAATAAAGGACCAGGTTACAACTCAAAACCTGGCAATTTTTTCCTCTGACAGTTTTGTGTCCAACTTCAGTTAAAAAAATGTCTTGATTCTTACTTGAATCTTAATTTCTCCCCAGAATAAAGGAATAAAGATTAAAGCAAGTGACAGGCTGCCTGCCCTCAGTTTATTCCTGCCTTGGTGATGTTCTATCTATGTAAAACCACTACAAATGCCATTAAAAGGAACAGTATTCTCATTGCTTCATCTTGGTCTACTAGTGAGAAAAGAAACTGAGGAACACAAGTGAGCTTCAAACTACACACATGAAAGATGAAATTAGAGTTTTCTGAAAACATCCTCTAAGTTTGGTCCTTGCCAAAGAGCATATTAAAACATCAAATTAAAACATTACTTGAACTAAAATACAATCCAAGATTCAAATGTGCTTGGTTAACAATGCACACACAACATGCAAAACCAACCCACAGAAAATTTATTTTGAAAATAAGCACTGCAGACAGAAAGAAAACACCTATGCACAATTTGAGTTCATAGTTCACATTAAATCTAAAACAAAACCTCAACTTTGTGCTGCAAGGACACTACAAAATTTAATTTGTCCTTAATGGCAGTATAAAAACCACTCTCACCTTCAACCAGACAGTGTATTCCAAGCTCGAGAAAAGGAAAGGGTCACAACACAGTGATGAAGACAGGCATGTTTTCCTAAAACAAATGTAATATAGCTACATCAGCCTGATGTTACCTGGATCAAAGAGGAAGGGAAGTAAGAGAAGCAGAGCTTGCTGACTGGGGAGAAAGCTAGGAAGAGAGGTGAGGGAGCTGATGGAATTTTAACATGAAAAAGTTTTGGATCACAGCCCAGTGGCATTGCTGGAATCTATGGAAAGGTATTTAGTAAAATGTCCTTTGATTTTGCTCAAGAATTTAAAAGTTTAGATGGAATTCAAACAAGTACTTTCAGATAAAATCCCTGGCAATTACTACCCTACCCAGTAACAGCATGTACACTCCACATCATGCTTAGAAGAACTGAGAATTGAGTCTTGGGACCCACGGAGTACAACCAGCCCATCTGTTCTGCTCCCTCATTTATTCACCTATTGGCTTAAATAAAACTGACTCAGAGCTCCTGGGAGAGGAAGGAAAACAGAGAAAAAAGCCCCAGAGCTTTACAAAATGACTGTTCTTGTTTAAACACCATTCTCAGGCCTTATCCAGACTAAAGACTTAATGAGTGACAACCATAGCACATCAGAACCATTATTATAAATAAATCCAGCCTCATTTACAGTATTTATCACACATCCCTTGCAGCATGGGGTGCCTCTGCTGGAATAAATAATCTTCAAAGACCTGGAAACACCTTCCTAATCCTCCACACTCCCCCTTCAGCCTGCAAGGTACCAAGAGGAACAGCCCATGTGTACTCTGCAATTTGGGTGTAACTGTGCCAGACAGGGAAGGCACTGGTGGAATACTTGGTCATGGCAGAGGTGACACAAGTGCTGGGGTTGGCCTGGGACAAAGTTCAGTGGCTGAGCACAGAACAGATGGAAGTGGCTCCTGCTCAACACCACTCACCTGCAGAACAGGTTGGCATTAGTGGATGTGGCATCAGAACATGCACTTGATAATATTTATGTGTAAATGCAGAAGAAAAGTCTCACAGGCTGATCTTGTTCAAAGCTAAGACTGCTGTAGATGTTCAAAAGGTTCTGATCTTCCTGGATACCCTGATGACAAAGACCTCAAGATCTCCATTACACAATTAATTAGCACAAGATTCATCTCCTAAACTATTACTGCTAGACAATAAAAACACCTTTTTTACAGGCTTTGTTCATCTTATCACCACCTAACAAAGAGATAAAGTAATTTTCAGCAAGTAGGTCACTGGAAGAGATCATTAGTCTGTGAGTCAGTTCAGAGACTCATCTGTGCCACTTGTTTGCCATAAAACTTCCACATTTACTCATCTCCTGTACTCTGATTATTCCCTTAACTCCTTTAAGCATTATACTACGTACAAGTAAAAACTTAATGAAAAATGTTGACAGTTCTATCAGATAACGATGCAATGACTAAGGAAATGAAACACAACTGTATTCTCCATCCTGCATAGCTCTTCAGAAGTTTTTCTCAGTCACCCTTCATAGCCCATTAGAAATGATTCAGAGAGCACAGACAAATAAAAAGTTGACTTGTCCTATACATGGAGTCTTTGAAACTACTGAATTGTACATACAGACCTAAATGCAACTAAGACACCTTTTCATTTTTTAAATAAGGGTACAATTGATACATATCTACTTGTTAATTCTAGCCCTGTGT